AGAGCGCATACATAATTAATAATTCTGCATGCATAATAAATGTATGGGGTTATACGGAAATCTTTCCCAATCGTCCACATGTTGAAACTGTAGTCGGTTGATATAAACTGTAGATTGTGACTTCCGCCCTACCTAGCTGGAAAACCCCATGTATATTGACAATTTCCTGTTCCTCGGAAGGGAACCAAGATTTGACTGGTTGGTTTTGGAGTGGGACATTTGACACTATATCGGTAAGGATTGGCTCAAAGAGAAAAGCCTACAAAAGCTTTGTGCTGTATTTGAAGGTAAATAAAATGTTTTGCTTCTGAAAATGTCCAATGCTTAGGAGGCACTTGCCAAGAGGGGGTGGGAGGGGGGGGGATGTTGAAGTTTCAAACTGACGAGCATATTACTTGGAAATACTTATATAACAATCAGTCTGAGCAGAGTGAGACCAGGTTAGACATTTTGTGACTTTTAATGGAAAGTAATAATGAATGAGGTGATGTTAGCCCACTATTCATGGTTAATACATTTCCGGTTTACTTGAAGTTAGTTCCACTTACGGTCAGCACAAAGGGCAGACTGAGAATAAAAACTGTTTCTCATCTGATATGTGACAACATGTTATCTAAAAACATACGTCATATCAATATTTAAAAATAGCAACACACAATATGATATTGACAACAAGTGACATACCACATGACTTTGCAGGTGGGTCGTCCACTGTCTTCACATTCGGCAGCATGGCGGCCTTTTGGAGATCGGCAAGTCAGCTGTCAAATCAGGTAAGCAGCGGATAAATAACCTGTGGCCTGACCGCTTTGTTGATGAAAAAAAAAAATGAAGAAGCAAGCAAAGAATATACCACAATAATGCTAATGTTTGTGAATTATGACCATGGAAAAGGGAGTGTGTGACACTCGGTGAGTTTTTAGATGATATATGTTCAGGTATCAGATGAGAAACTTTATTCTCAGTCTGCATTTTGTACCTAGTCAACATAATTTTTTGTACCCAGTCTGCAGTCTGCAGTCTGCATTTTACACTGACTGGCTCCACCCCATCCCCAGTTTGCTTGAGGTTAATTCCACTTGGGTTTGTTTGTGGTTAGCTTTTATATTGTGGTTTGGGGAACACTGTATTATTTATATTTAGGCTTGCAGTATGTATAGCTAAAAAATTTGGCTTCTTGCAGCTGGTGCCCTGTTAGTGTAGTGGGTAAGTCAGTGTATCCCGGATCAATTTTCCTGGGTTTCACTCTTCTTCTTTATTTGAATTAAATGAAAAAAAATAAGTAAGTAAGCGTGAAAAATGGTTGGACTCATTGATATTTGAGGTCTTCAACTTAAATTGTTGTAAAGTGGTAACATTAATATATTTTATTGTAGTTTGATTTGGTTTTAATTTAATTTATTGCAATTTGATGGCAAGGTCTCTACTATCTTACCCTGTGGGACAGAGATTCTCTTCTTTTTCTTCTCTTTGAGAGATGAGAGGGATCCTCTGCTTGTAACCACTCCATTTTTTATATTTGTGTTTACATGAATTACTTTAGCATGTGCTTTGTTACATGAAGTGCTCACATGCAACTACATTTTTTAGCAATGATGTAGTTGTCGCTTATTGCTGGCATGCAGCATTCTTTTGGATAAGTGACTTTGCACTTTTTTCACCCTGCACTTATGTCACACACGATTTACCCCTCTGTGGAAGCGAAATGCACTCTGGGAGCTAGTAAATAAGACGTACATAACAAAAATTCGCTATCTTTGGTTTCGGGGAGTGAGAAACTCTTCCTTTGCAGCCGACCTTTGGAGTTTGTAGGATCCGTGGAGTGCCTTTAATGTCAGCTTTTAAACAAAGATTTTGAGTGTGGATTGTGCTTTGTCAAGTATCGGATAAATTTGCACTCATTGGCAAACTCAAAATAAGAACATATTGTCCATTTATACAACTTAAGATCAACAAGCAAGTCGCACACATGATAGGTCAAGGGTCCACATTAAATTAATGTATTGGTGAGCGTTGTTTAGGCTGGATCTTTGCCTGTCTTGAGTTGAATTGAGTGAACACTGTATGAGCATTGTATGAGGGCTGAAATATCTGAACTAAACTTATCTGTGGACTGAAATATTGGTGAAGTTGACTAGCGCTCTATTACGAATGCCGTTCTCTGATTGGCTACACTACTCACTATCTATTCTGTGATAGATATTGAGTAGCGTAGCAGTGGGCCCTTGTTAACAAAATGACGGATGCTTCTTGGTGTTTTCAAAGTGTCTGTGAAGAGAATTTAGATAAAGTTTTTAATGACTAGTAGATCTATACTAAAACGACTAGATTATTCACTCCCGATTTCTATGCATGATAATCAATGTGGGCTGCACCTTCGTCTACAATCACGCAATAGAAATCCCAAACTCATAATCTAATTGTTTGATAGAAACACATGTGACAAACTTCTACACCTGTTTCTATTAAACAATTAGATTATAAGCTCGAGATTTCTATG